TCTTCGTTCATGGCAGAGACTTCGTCACAAAGAGGTGTCGTTTCGGTCTGGCTTTCTTTGAAACCATTGTTTTCTTCGTCGTTGTTTAAGAGCAGTGATTGAAGTTTCTCCCGCTGCTCCATGCATTTCCTCAGGAATGCTTGGTTAGCCATGCAGGTGTTGACCCAATCCTTGTTGGTACTGCACGTCAGGAAGTATCCTGCGTCCATGACGATGTTCCGTTGTAAAACGGCGGTCGAGGACGCCTGGCTTCCAATGCTTCCTTGAATCGCTTGGGCAAGAGCAGCGGTAGGCTTAGCCGCTCCGCTTCCAGTATGCATCTTCTGACCCTTGAAAACGCCTCCAAGGGTCGCTTGGCGTGTCGGCTGGTTAGGTGACTCGTCCTTGTCGGTCGTCGGTATCCATGGCGGCTGCGATGAGGTGCCAGGAACCTTTCGTATCGGTGCAATGATCGAACCTTGGAAGGAAGCTCACGAGCAAACGTCTGGTCTCCTCGAGAGCTGAGGCCAGAGTCCATGGCAACTCAGAACCCCCTACTCTTTTTTTTCTTCTTTTTCTTGATACTGATTTTGGTCATAGGTAGTGCTGATGGTGCCGTTTTCATTCATGTCAGTAGAAGAATGTGTGGTTTTCTTCGTTTTCTTTTTGTAAGAAGACAGATGGGATGGCAACTCAGAACCCCCTACTCTTTTTTTTCTTCTTTTTCTTGATACTGATTTTGGTCATAGGTAGTGCTGAAGGTGCCGTTTTCATTCATGTCAGTAGAAGAATGTGTGGTTTTCTTCGTTTTCTTTTTGTAAGGAGACAGGTGGGATGGCAACTTCATTTCATTCATTTAATGATCAGGAAAAAACAGAGAAATTAACCGAAGAAGTCTCGGTTGGCTACTCTGCGTGGGGATGGGGAGTGGGATAACAGAGGACAGGGAAGAGGAAAAAATAAAGGTAGCAAAATGTAGAGCGCATACAGTCTGGTGCAAAAAAATCAGTTATCACAGAATAGTGAGAATTTGTAAATATATACACAATGAATAGAAAAAAAAGATCGCTTTTGTAAAGCGACAGTGTTAGTTAAAAAGCCCATCTTCATGTATAACAGTCTGTAGCATTCAACATTGTGTTCTGTCGAGTTCAACCGTGAGGTCTCCGGACACTTCACACCGTCACATAAGAGATGTCAAAATGAAGCACATATTCAGATACTCCTACAGTAAAGAAAGATGAAGGCTCAGTGACTGCCGTTTCTGCCTCATAAAGTATCTATTGCACACAGCGTCACTTTCCTGCCTTATCAAGAGCTAGAAGTTATTTGGGTAAGAAGTTTAAATCAAAGACGGCTAATTAGGTCTGTTTTCTCTAAGTAAACCACTAAGGCGTCTATAGCGCTCTGTTGGCTTTTTCGATCGTTCCAAGGGCCAAGGATCTTGTTTAGGCTGAATGGATCGCTACTTAATTTCTGAATAGTGTCGTGAAGTGCGCGTCTCTCAGTGTTAAACAACTCGCACTCACAGATGACGTGGTGGAGGTCTTCAGGAACGTTGCATTGTAGACAGTTTGGACTTGAAATAAACCCGAATTTGTGCATCTGAATATTTGTGAAAGCAGAATTCAAGCGACATCTATGTAAACAAGTTTCCACGTTTCGAGGTAATTTTTTAGGAATAGAGTTTTCTAGTCCCGGGTCGATTTGATGGAGGTATGGGTAGCAGTTTTTGGTGGACGACCATTCACCCAGGAAAGTGTTTTTACCGAATGATGCCACATGTCTTGCAGCCTCTTGTCGAGTGAAAGGAATATTTTCAGATGGAGCAAGGTTATGCGCATTTTCTGCTTCAGCGTCAGCCGACTCGTTCCCAGGAATTCCTGTATGTCCGGGTACCCATTGAAAGTCAACTGTATGACCCTTGTTTGTTGCTGCGGCATAGTTGTAAAGTGTTTTCATAACCAGCACTGGGTTTGATGATTTTAAAGGTGACCGTTGTAGCATTTGTAATGCCGCTCGTGAGTCGGTGAATATCGTCCATCTCGATCTCCTTGTAGACTTGGTAATGTAGCATAGGGCCATGTTCAGCGCGCAGAGTTCTGCTGCGGTAGAGGAGACAACTCGACAGTGTTTCAGTGCCTCCACAACACCTAGTCTGGGTATGACGAATGCAGATGATGAACTTTCCGAGCGCGTGGACCCGTCAGAGTAAACATGAGTACTGTTACGGTACTTGTCATGTAGAAGGTTTAGTACGTGTTGCAGTACGACTGGTTGAGCTTGAGCAGTCTTTTTTGTAAATCCAGGAATATTAAAATTTACGTGGGGTACGGCTAGAGTCCACGGGGGGCACCTTGGGACTGCATGGAATTCAGCATAGTTTGGAATGTTGCTGTTACATATAAATAATATTCTGCCAAAACTTGACATTGGTCGCAGATTTGTTATGTCTGACAAGTGATGTTGACGGTGTTGTAATTTGTGTCTCAAGTGAATACGTAATGCTTCTTGTTTTGCCATAATCGCTAGAGGCAATGCCCTTGCTTCGGCAATAGTGCCGATACTTGATGTGCCCGGGGGTACACCTAGGCAAGTCCTGAGGGACTTACAAAGCTCTGCCTCAATGATTTTTGTGCCCGATACACATATGTTAGTTAAAACTGGCAAGCTATATCTGAGAAGGCTATTAATTAAAGACGTTTGCAGCATTAGCATAGATTTAGAGGATTTTCCCCACGTGGTGCCAGTCAGGAAGCGTAGCACGTTGCCGGCTGAGGCCAGCTTCGATTTTAGTTCTTTTATATGGTGATTCCAGGCTAGGTGTTTGTCTATTGTAAAACCGAGAAATTTGTGTTTTAGAACAAATGGAATTACTCGTCCACCAAAGACGATAGGAAATCGCTTCATCGACATTCGAGTGAAGGCTATGGCTACCGTCTTCTCGACCGATAGGCTCATACCACAACGATTAAGAAACTTATTGATTTTTATGAGTGATTTATGGAGTTTCCTTTGAGTGACAAAGCGATTTGCATTGGTGGCCCATAAGCAAATATCGTCAGCATATATTGAAAGGCGGACGTCTTTAGAAACCTGACGGGGTAAGTCGAAGAGCGCAAGATTAAAAAGCAGCGGACTCAGGGCTCCCCCTTGTGGTACTCCTCTTTTTACATTATGTAAGGTTGTTCGGCCCTCAATCGTTTCCATAAAAACCGTACGTTCACTTAAGTAGTTTTGAACCCAGTTGAATATTCTGCCTCCAAAGCCTTGATTTTTCATGGCGTTTAGGATACAGTGATGGTCAATTGAGTCAAATGCTTTCTCTATGTCTAGAAAAACGGCCGACGTTATCTTGCGTTCATGCAGGCCTTGTTCGATAGAGCTGATAAGTTCAATGACGTTGTCTACAGTTGAGCGTCCTGCTCTGAAGCCAGCCATCTCCTTTGGATATAATGATCTGTTCTCGAGAAACCATGACATTCTTGCAAGTATCATGCGTTCCATGACCTTACATATGCAGCTAGTGAGTGCAATGGGTCTGAATGATCCAAGGTCGAGAGGAGACCGACCGGGTTTAAGGATAGGGACAATTTTTGCCTGCTTCCACTCTGTGGGAAGTGTGCCCGTGAGGAATGATGTATTATAATATTCCAGGAGTCTAAGTCTTGCAGATTCGTTTAAACAGGCCAACGCAGAATAAGTGACCCCGTCTGGGCCAGGGGAAGTGTGCTTTTTGATATCTTGTAAAGCGTAGTTTAGTTCATTTAATGTGAGCGGAAGGTCTAAGGAAGCATCACGTGTTAGGGGCGCAGGATTTTGGAATGGTTGATCTTTAAGTTGTGGGTGATATAATTGTGTAATTTGCTTGCAAAAAGCTTCAGCGATTTCAATGTCTGAGCATCCGTAGTACAGACTTAATGCTCTGAATGGGTGGCGTTGTTGCGCTCGAGTCTTCAGGCCTCTCACGACCCTCCATGCATGAGATAGACCTTTCGCAGTGTCAAGAGAGTTGCGGAATTCGCGCCATCGACGACGGCTAAGAGCGTCTAAATAGCGGTGAACCTTTTTTTGTGCCTTCCGAGCTGCACGAGAATCCTCTAAAGTTTTTGTTCTTCTTGCTTTCCGTTCAGCTCGTCTTCGAATAGCTCGCAATCTTTCATATTCAGCATCAATGTCAGTACAATGGAAAGGTACATGTATCTGTTTTGTCGACAGTTTTAGGCAGTGAGCAATAGACGGTGCAAACTCCTCGTTTGTTGTTGCTGCTGTTATACATTTCCCTGCTAGTTCTGAAAAAAGGTTCCAGTCAGTATATGAAAGGGCGTTGGATGTCTTACAACCGGCAAAATCACGAACTGTGAGAAGAATAGGATAATGATCACTACCTCGAGTTTCGAGATCTGTAGTCCATGAAACGTTTTGAAGAAAGTTTGAAGAGACAAAACTCAGATCGAGAGCACTGCTCACCGTTGTTCCTCTATAGAACGTGGGGCTTCCGTCATTGAGTAGCACCAGATTCAATTTTGAGGTGAGTTCGCTAATCGTGTTACCCCGTTTATCATTTCGAGTGCCACCCCAAAGCTCGTGATGTGCATTAAAGTCTCCGCAAAGTATATGAGGGGAAGGAGTGTCTTGAATAAGCCTTTCTAGCCGTTGGGTATCGAATGCTGCTCTTGGTTGTATGTACGCCGATATCAACGTAAACTTGCGCGATTTACTTTTAACTGTTATGCAAGCATATTCATTTGTGTCATGAGGTGCCACTTCATGTTCTATGTAACTTAAATCTTTTCTTACGCCTATTAAAACTCTGCTTACCCCATTTGACCTTTGTGAGGTAACGAAGGTATATCCTGAAAGCTTTATGGCATTTTTGTCTGGAATTCCAGACTCTGATATTGTAATTAAAGGAAATTGGTGTTTCCACGTGAACTGTCTTAGATCTCCAAGCCTCGATTTAAGTCCATTAGCATTCCACTGGAAAATAGTCGCTGCATTTAGAATAACTTCAAATGGGTCTACATTACCAAGGTGTAGATGTACGGAAGTGCGAAGTCGACCAGTTTAAGTAAAACTTTCGCCCACTCTGATTGGCTGTCATTAAGTAAGCGGCGAACATAATCAATTACGACATTAATTGCTGTCCTACAAAATGACCCTGTTTCTTGTTTAGCGTTATCAGTAGAGCGCTCATTCGTTGTTCCGTCTTTGTTTACCTTAGTATGTTCTTGTGTATTTGATTGCATTGCTGCAGTTGGGGTGCTACGTGGGGGCGTAGGTGGATGTTTCTTGTCCGGCACATTTTTTAGAGCGTCTCTATAGCTACACTGTGGGGGCCCCCTTTCCTTGCGGGGCTCAAGATTGGGTGTCATTGCTTGAGCAGCAGGGTGCTGGATGGCAGTTTCCTTGCTGGCTTGTTTGAGTGGTTGTAGGGGCCTTAAAATCTCTAGAGGTGGCCCCACTTCTGGCGTGTATTTGTGGCCGCTCTGATCGTTGCTGTGAAATCTTCTTTTGTTCTTGGCAAGTTCTCTTTGTTCAACTTGTTTGGGACAGGAAGCTACAAGGGCATCATGTTCACTGCCGCAGTTAACACACAGGGGAGAAGCTTCGCAGCTCGCTCGACTGTGGCTGCCTCCACATCGACTGCACATCTGATTCTTCGTACAGACCACAGTCTTGTGGCCGAAACGGCCACAGTTGGCGCACTGCAAGGGGCGCTCTTCGAAATCCCAAACTTGGTACCTGACCCGTGAGAGCAGCACGTACTTGGGCATTTTTGGGCCATTAAAAAGGATCCTGACTACCTGAGATTTACCTAGTCTTCTGGCGTGGACCACGGGTATCTCCGAGGTTAGCCCAGCTTTTAGGAGAGCATCATCAACGTCGTCGCCAACACCCTTGATGACGCCGACGGCTCCATCGCGGGGTCCGGGCTCGTACGACTTCACAGTGACTCCGCACAGAGATGTTAGTTTTAGAAGCGATCGAGTGGCCTGTGCGTTTCTGGTGTCTACTGCGATCAAGTTCAGTCGGTTGTTTGGGCGTATCATCTGGATGCTTTCTGGGCAGTGGTTTTCCAGCTCGGAGGAAACTCTCATGATGCTAAGTTTGGTGAGGGAATCTGTGTGGTTCGCTGGTACAAATATGACGGTTGGTCCTACTTGTGAAGCCTTAGGCGGTGACTCGCTTGGTTTGGGACGCTTTCTCGATGTTACCAGTGTGTAGCGGTCGTGCTCAGATCTTTGAGCTGTTGCAGATTCTTCCATGTCGTCGTCGGTTCCACGAGGTGTGCCTTGGCCGGGTGTCAATGACGCTTCACTGCCTTGTGAAAGTGATGAAGGAAGAAGGTCTGCAGCACTAGAATCCATAGGAACGTCATTTGGGTTGCTCGGTTCAGCAGAGTAAGAATGTTCTATGACTTGCTCTGACGAGTGTGTTCCGTGATCGTTCAGCTCGGTGTTTTGCATGGTGTTGAAGAGCCAAAAGCCCCACACGCGCTCAGGGCGTGGGGCGAAGGATTGTAAATATGAAGTGCTAAAGTTGTAGTTAGTTGGCGAATAAATTATACGATCACTTCAGTTGATATGAAGGAAGTGATCAGAAAAGTCACCTATTGTTCTTACTCGTCGTCGTCGTTTTTTCGGCAACTCAGAACCCCCTACTCTTTTTTTTTCTTCTTTTTCTTGATACTGATTTTGGTCATAGGTAGTGCTGAAGGTGCCGTTTTCATTCATGTCAGTAGAAGAATGTGTGGTTTTCTTCGTTTTCTTTTTGTAAGGAGACAGGTGGGATGGCAACTCAGAACCCCCTACTCTTTTTTTTTTCTTCTTTTTCTTGATACTGATTTTGGTCATAGGTAGTGCTGAAGGTGCCGTTTTCATTCATGTCAGTAGTTTTTTTTTTTTTTTTTTTTATTTGATGTAGAGAAAGGAAATCAGAGATGTTAGCCTGGAGTTGATCTCCTGACTGGCTACTCTGAGTGGGGAGGGGAGTTAGGGAATGAAAGATATAAGTATGAAAAGAAGGCGTTCCATCTCAGGCCCACACACACACTCACACGCACGCGCAGTACATAAATTAGAAAAAAAAAAAGGCGGGCAACGTTTGCGACCTTAGGTCAGAGTCTTTTGTCAAGGCCTGTTGCTGACAGGAACTTTAGAAGGGCATTCGTTGACTTCGCAGCGCGGCTTTCGTCATCCCATGGTCCGAGAAGATGTTGAAGAGTGAGGGCTGATCCAGTTGTCTGATGAATGTCTTTGTAGAGCTGGTGCCGATTATCAGTATACTTAGGGCATTCAAGTAATACGTGTTTGATGTCTTCAATGGTTCCGCATAGGGGACAGTTGGGTGATTCGAGCTTTCCGATGAGATGAAGGTAGTAGTTTGTGTAAGACACTTTTAGGCGCATTCTATGAAGGACTGCCTCCCGTCGCCTCTTGAGACCGCGTGGAACTTGGAACGTTAAATTTGGGTCAATTATTTTTAAGGACGAGCTCTGGTGGGCGACCGCTTTCCAATGACGCGCTGCAGTAGACCTCCCCAGGAGTGCCACAGCTGCACGAATGTCTGATCTTGTAAATGGAGCCATAACTTGCTTAACGTGGTCATGGCCACGTGCAGCCATAGCATCAGCCATTTCATTTCCTTGTAGGCCACAGTGGCGAGGTATCCATTGGAAAGAAATTGAATGTCCTAAAAGGTTAGCATCTGCATGAACTTTCAGAATTTGTAGAACTAATTGCCTATTTGGACTCTTTCTACGTGGAGACTGCAGCGATTGGAGAGCTGACTTAGAGTCAGTAATAACTGTCCAAGTGCGAGGAGACACATCTAATATGTAAGAAAGCGCCTCACGAATGGCTACCAACTCTGCCGCAGTGGAGCACATTCTGTGAGACAACTTGTGGCCCGCGCTCAGACAAAGCGCCGGGGACGCCAATCCAATCGATGATCCTTCATGTGTAGTCGATGCATCTGTGTATAAATGGCAGGAGGAAGAGTGCCGCGTATATAAAACAGACAAAGAAAGCTGACGAAGAACAACTGGAGGGAGCGCTGATTTTTTAATTATTCCTGGGATGTCTGTGTGGAGCACAAGAGGGGGCAACAACCAAGGAGGCGTAGCGAGGATGAGAGAGTCCTGATATGCATCTGGAATGTTCTCTTTGTGATCAATAATGGCCTGTGCAATTCGGCTGTAGAAACACCTCTCCGGTATGTCCGCTAGGTGGTGCGAGTCATGCCGTGTAAGGTGCCTTATGTGATTTCGTAGAGTCTCCTGAACGCGAATGGCTCTGATAGGTAGGCAGTGAGTTTCAGCTATTGTATCAATGGTCGAGGTTGAACGAGGTACCCCAAGGCATACTCTGAGCGCCTGTGCTTGAAGAGATTCAAGCTTTTTCATGTTTGTGGGACTTAAACCATGCATAACTGGCAAGCTGTAGCGGAGAACGCCAACGAATAAGCTGTTATATAAACGCAGAAGTCCAGCTACGGATGTCCCCCAGGTTGTGCCGCTTATAAACCTCCCTAAACTAATAAATGCAGAAAGCTTCGTCTTAAGATGTTTTAGTTGCGGATTCCATGTTAGGCCCTTGTCTATATAAACTCCGAGAAAAAGATGATTTGGAGTGTAAGGAATATCTGTACCATGGAGGGAAAGAGGGTAACGGCTCATTTTCATCCTCGTGAAAGCTACAGCTGCTGATTTTGTTGGAGCAATTTCAAGCCCCCGATCGTGAAGAAATTGGGATACTTGAAAAAGTGCCTTCTGTAGTTGAGCATGTACCTGCTTAAGAGAGGCAGCGGTTGCCCATAGGCAGATGTCGTCGGCATAAAGTGTAAGGTGCACGGAATCTGGTACAGCCTTCGTAAGCCCGATAAGTGCGATGTTAAAAAGAACCGGACTAAGAACGCCCCCTTGGGGTACGCCCTTCGCTAAAACATGATATGAGGTGTCGCTTTCTTTGGTGTGCATGTAGATTGTTCGATTATGGAGGTAGTCAGCAACCCAGTCAAACAGTCGCCCACTAATTCCAACTGATTGGAGTCCTTGTAAAACGGCTGAATGTCGGATATTGTCGAAAGCTCCACGTACATCGAGAAACACTGCTATAGTAAACTTTCCCCGAAGCTTCTGGTCTTCAACATGGGCTACAAGATCGATGACGTTGTCAATCGAGCTACGGCTTTGCCTGAACCCCGTCATTGTAGCTGGATATGCTGAGCTTGATTCGAGGAACCACTCCAGCCGTGACAGAATTAACCGCTCCATGCATTTGCCGACGCAGCTAGTTAAAGAAATTGGCCGGTAAGACTTCAAATCAAGAGGAGACTCACCCGCTTTGAGTACAGGAACGATGTTCGCTATTTTCCACGCTTGTGGAACACGACAGTTTGTCCATGAGTCATTAAATATCTGAAGCAGCAGCTGGCGAGCTGCTGGTCCTAGGTGGGCAAGTGTACCGTAAGTGATTTTATCTGGACCAGGCGAAGAAGAGTGATCAAGGGAGGCTAAAACTTCATCTAATTCTGGCGCACTGAAGATGGCATTCATGGGAGCTGAAATAGAAGTATGTTCAGCGCTTAAATGCAGTGAAACATCGTCGTTTAAGGCTGGTAGAACGAGTGAAGCGCAAAACTCTTCAGCGATGTCACGTGGCGAGCGACCTGTGTGGAGTGATAACGCAAGAAAAGGCGTTTTTTGTTGCGGTTTGGATCTTAGTCCGCGAGCAACGTGCCATATTTTTGACAGTGGAGCACGGGGATCAAATGAGGAAGCACATGTTTTTCTCCACTTCTTCCGACCTAGTTTATCCAAGTGACGGCGGATATGTTTTTGAGTGCGCCTGTCTACTCTTACGTCAGCAGCTAACTTGGTTCGTCGAGCGCGACGCTCTGCCCGTCGACGAATCGCTCGAAGTTTTTCGTATTCCGCATCCACAACGGTGCGCGAGGCTGGGAGAAGGACAGTCCTGGTCGCTTCCGTCGCTGATAGCTCTAGCGTTGAGACAAACTTCTCGTAAGTGCTTGTTCCTTGCAGGCGCAGTTCCACATTGTCTCGAAAACATGGCCAATCTATATATGAAGTGAGAACATGATTATAATAATTTGCTTGGAACCCTCTGACCGTTATGTAGGTAGGCATATGGTCACGGCCATGAGTCTCTATATCAAAAAGCCAAGAGTTTTGGGACAGGAGCTCGCGCGACATGAACGCAACGTCTAAACAACTACTGCAGCGACTACCTCGAATGAACGTAGGTGAACCATCATTCAGGAGACATAGGTCCGCCAGATCGAGTAGCTCTCGTCCCCGTGGCGTCGTCCTTACACTACCCCACGCCACATTGTGGGCATTGAAATCACCTACTAACAAAATGTGGGATTTGCATTGTCGAATAATATTATCTAATCTCGAGATATCGAAGCCGCAGGCCGGAGCTATGTATACAGCAATAACGGTGAATGTAACTTTCCCCTTTCGAACTGTGACACTCACATACTCATTGTCCGGATGAGGGGTGATATCATGTGACACATAGGTTAGGTCTTTCCGGAGCGCAAGAAAAACTCTACTAATGCCATTAGGACGAACCGACTGAAATATTTCATATCCCGAAAGTCGAAAGTCGGATGGAACGCGTGATTCGCTGATAGCTAAGATAGGAAAGTGATATTTGAACATGAGCTGTCGGAAGTCGGAAAGCCGAGGACGAAGTCCTCTCGCGTTCCACTGAAAAACGGTCGCATTTTTAAGACTCTCTTGGAATGACGAAACGTCAACCATTATTCTGATGCGAATTTCCTGCCATCGCGATAACTGCGGGTTCGAATACTAGGATTCCTTGCAGAATGCTTTTGAAGGCACATGGTGGTAGTTGTGCCGTGAAACTTCGTAGGGCGGAGAAGACAAGGCAGATGATATCGCCAATTGTCATGGAGCAGAATACGGAAGGTGCAGGTTGCTGGGGACGCTTATCAGCTTTGACAACGTCGCTGTATGTGCGCCTGTTGGTCGTGCGGGAAGATACGTCTGTAGCTTTGAGCTCATCTGTAGAGGTAGCGGGCTTGCGAGGAGGTCCTTGGTTTGGCGTTGGTGGGATTGTTGTAGATGCCCGAGTCTTCTTCTTGGTCTTCTGTGGCGGCCCCTTAGGCTTCGCACCTTGTTCGGCAACGCTAGGCGTTTCTTGGGCATCTGCAGTGTCCGTTGCACTAAAAGTAGCGCTTTTTGGAATTGTGTTCTCGTTCGATGGCGAAGCGAGCTTTGGTCCATGAACAAACTGCTTTGTTCTGGCTAGGGCTCTGAGGCGCACCTTGCAATTTACATAGTCTGCAGGGTGTTCACCACCGCAGTTTGCACACTTGACTGCCGTTTCTCCCGGGAAGTCCCTCGTTAAGTGTGGTTGAGCACACTTCTTGCACTTGGCGTCTCCTTTGCAATATTTTGCAACATGGCCAAGCACTT